CGACATTAACACGACCTATTTATTCAAATTTTCCAGCCATACTGCATTAAAACAGCCGAGGAATAAAAATAACAGTCTGGTTAATTTTTTTGTTTTTTATGAGTTAAGTACGGGCACAGAACTAACTCCTTTTCTTGGCAATTCAAATGATATCATGTAGAGGGATGCATAAAAATAAGCAGTGAGAGTGGTATCAGGGGCCGTTTTCATAAAACGTGAAATGACAACTCTCAAGCCAGGAGCGTACGTTGGGAATACGATAGGCAGAACGGCAAGCGATCAATTATTTCCAGGAGAATACTACGTTTTTTCAAGATTGATCCCTTAAAAGTTTTATTCCTGGAAATGTCTCTGGCAATAAAATCTGGGAAATGTACCGAATATCTGTCTTTTTGTTTTGTGCAGTAAAGATTGTAATGATGTATTACAGTAGATCAGTGGTGTCCCTAGCGTTTTTGCCACCTGAGGTGGTGCCCAGGGGGAGGGGGGGCAGTCATTGGTGGGTTGTGTGTAAAATGGACCCTCTGGTTTCCGGGTGGGGGCATGTGAGTACAAGATGGACGTAAAGGACCCTGCCGGCAAAGGAAAGGGCGAGGGATAGGTATCACTACGTGTCCCACTAGTAACGTGGTAGCCCAGAACTGGACGGGATGCCAGCCAGGGCATTCCAGGTTGCTAAAAGCTGGTCCTTAAACATTCAATAAGTCCCATCGCACTCCTGACTGTATTGAACCCTCAAAGATGAGGTGGGTGTCGAAGTGACTGCAGATGCCTCAGCAGATCAATGAACAATTAATAGAAATTCACCCCGCACTCCAACTTGATTCTCAGTCAATATTTATTGACCATTGTTGTGTCACATTGTAAAGCAACATTTCGGAACTGCGTGGTCCCTTCTTCAGGCCTGAAGAAGGGACCATGCGGTTCTGAAACGTCACTTTACAATGTGGAACAACCATGGTCAATAACTGTGACCCAGTCTCAGGCTGCCTCATTAGGGACGGCCCTGCAGTGGATACACCATATCAGGGGTAGACAACCTTGGCACTCCAGCTGTGGTTAAGCAACAACCCCCTTCATGCCTCTGCTTCTGGGAGTCATGCCTGTGGCTGTCAGAGTCTTGTAATGCCTCATGGAACTTGTGGTTCCACAACAGCTGGAGTGCCAAAGTTGCCTACCCCTGCACTATATGGTCTACAACAGGGATAGGCAAATGCTGGCCCTCTAGCTGTGGTGCAACTACAAATCCCATTAGGCACTGCAAGAGTCTGACATTCACAGACATGACTCCCAGTGATAAAAAAGTAAACACACAAAAAAAGAAACAATAAAAAAAAAAACTAACCCTGCCGCCCCTGCCATCCGGTTGCCATTCTCCGTTGATGGGG